GATCATCACATGGCTCAAGCAAAACAATCTCCAAAAAACCTTCCTGGAGCAGCACATTCATATTATGAGGGAAAATTACGTTTCAACCAAATATTAATTTTTAGATTAAATTTAAATTGTCCACTTGAATTTTACTGATTTAATAGTTTGGTCTGTGCTTAACTTATAATTTTAATTTGGCTTTATAGATATCTAAGAGTTATAAGCATATAGAGTTTATATCTACTCTTAACGTTTATAGTTTTAAAATATTGTTCTAACACAAAGAATTTCAGTCCACCTTGGTAAACTGCGAGATAAATATTTTTCCTTCTAAAAATAAAAATAATGCTCAAGTTTGAGAAATACCACTAAACATGAGTCTTTACTTATGAACTGCAGGGCCAAACCATGAATTAGAAAGTATGCAGGCATGGTGAGGTCAAGGTAGGTAGAGCTACGTGGCATCATGAAAAGGATAGTCACCACAAGGAAACCTATACAGGGAGCAATGGAGGCTGGGTGTCCTGGTATCAAAGTGTGCTTGACATGCAGTGTTTCACGTACTCAATCCATGTCAGCATGTCAGGGAACCAAGGAGAAAGGGTAGAGAAAGAGCCTGTATGAATCCGGCAGAACTTCATTAGAAAACTACCAGCAAGACACCAAAGCCTGGTTAAAGAAGCTGTGTGCATCAGTAACCTCTCAACTGTTGAACAGAGTGGGTTTGAGGCAGGACACATGTAGACAGTGAATGGAGCAAAGAGGAATTCATAGACTTTATCCTGTCTGTTGGTATACACCAGCAAGACAGCCATGAGAACTATGGGGAAGAAAAATAAAAGTAAAAGAAAATATCATTCTAAGGACTTAGCGGGAGAACAGCCTCAGAAATTAATTTGCTATAGAAACCAAAACCAGTTTAGGAAACTGGTATTCCCATTATGATATAAAAACATATAACTTCTATGAAAAAATAGTAAAAAGTATGAGACGACAACAGACTGAAACAGTGTAACGGTTAGTTTAAGAGATAACAAAGAAATACATCAAAAGGGTAAGAAGGATTGTAAAGAAACTTAAATAACAATTTAAATCTATAATGGAATTAGTAAAGAACAAAATTTTTCTTGAAACTCAGTGGTATAGAATGTGAATAAAAAATGAAAGGGCAAGGCTGGGAGAATGTATTTGTAATATCTGTATTGATAAAAGGCTTATACCTAGAATATGCAAAGTATTCTTAAAATGTAATAATAAAACAACCAAAAACCCAACATTAAATAAATGGGCACATGATTTAAAGAGATGCTTTTCAGAGGAAGATATAAAAATGAACAGTAAATATGAAAAGTTCCTCACCATCATTAGTCATCAGAGAAATACAAATTAAAACCACAACAACATGGTATTTTACACTCTCCTGGAAGGCTAAAATTAAAAGATCTGACAACACCAGTGTTTGCAAGGAAGCACAGCAATGGGACTCTCACATATTGCTGATTGAATGATATAATCTCTTTGGAAATAGTTTGGAAGATACTTACAAGCTTAAACATAAACTTATATGATCCAACAATTCCATTCTTAGGTATTTACCCAAGAGAAATGAAAACCTATATATCTTCAAAAGACCTGTAATGTTCACAGCATTATTTATCATAATGACTAAAAACAATTCAAATGTCTGTCAACAGGTAAGAGGATAAACGAACTGTGGTTTATTCACATAATGGATTACTATTTACTAATTTAAAAAATAATAAACTTTGACACCCACAACAATATGGACATATCTCACAAACCTGCTGAGCAAAGGGAGCCAGATACAAAAAAGTACATATGGAATCACTCCATTTATATGAATTTTTAGCAGAGGCAAAACTAATCTATGAATATGGAAACTGGGTCAGGAGTTGACAGAAGTGGGGTTAGGGAGGAATGTCTTAACTAGAGATGGCAAAGGCACAAGGGAGTCCTGGGGTAAAAGTTCTACGTCTTCATTGGGGTGCTGATTAATTAAATATATATATTTGTCAAACTTCATTGACAAGGTTTAAACTGTATGCATTTTATTACATGTAAATTATACTTTGATAAAGCTGAATAAAAGCAATGGTACCCATAACTAGCTTCTTTCTAGTAAAGTTGTGAATTGTATAAATTAAAAAAATTCTACGAGCCTTTAGGCAGGAAAATCAAACTTTCAAAGAATTAAAAAAAAAAAACAATTTCAGATTTCTCCTAAAAAATGTTAGGGAAGGAACAATAATGAAAATGTTTATAGTTGTTTAAGGGAGAAAAGAAGTCCTAAGACTTTATACCTAGCCAAGGATTTTTCATAAGTGAATGCAACAAAAAAGCCAACCTAAATATGGGAGGGCTCCTACAACATACCACACATCCTTGCTTCTAGAAAAAAATTATTGAAACCATTTCTCATGTGCTTGAGAGATCATGATTCATACTTAAAAGCTGAAGAATAAAGATAGTCTAAATACTTATTCCAAATATGATTTGAAACTAGATGAAGATGTAAGACAATAATTTGTAATTCCTAGAAGATACAATAAAAAACAAACTATAGAGATAATATCAGTCCTAAACCCCAAAAATGTATTAATTAACACTAGGGAATGAAGATGCTAGAAGTAAATGCTCATTAAATTCCTTATTTAATACAGTAAAGTCTAGAGCTATTGGTTCACTAAATTGTAAAAGACCCATTTATGGAATATTCTGTAGTCATAAAAATAATGAGAAAGCTCCTTATATTTAGATATGAAATTACCTGTAAGACAAATTTATTCTAAAGGGTGAGGCACAATACAAAAATATTTATAGCATACCATGACCTATGCAGCAAAAGAGGGAAAAAAATATTATACAAAGGAAACTGGAGACTTTAGTTACCTTGGGGGAAGGGTTATTAAGTAGCTGGGAATTAGGAATATTTTTTATTGCAGGAGACTTTATTGCAATTTTTGTCCTTTTGTTCATTTGTACATTAACCACATAAATGTGACCTATTTTTAAAACTAAATTTTTATGTATTACTTGTTTTATTTTTGAGAATTAACTAAATACTTCTTGAAGACTCTACTATGTGTATAAATCTAGTTTATGACAAAGGAGGTATCACAAACCAGAAAAGACTCAATAAATGATCTTGGAGCAGCTGGTTTCCTATTTGGAAAAAATGTAGTCCTCATTTCATAATTCTGAATCAGAGATTACAAAGATTCAATGAAAATTTTTTAATTAAATAAAAATATTAAAAGGAAGATGAATCTCAAATCAAATAAGACTTTGTAAGAGTAATTTGACAGATTTGACTAAATGAAAATGAAAATCTCCAATAGATCAGAAACATTATATTAAATTAAAAAGCATTCTAAAAACTGGGAAAAATACTTTTCACAAATATGATGAGATTAATACCTATTTTTTAAAGAGCCAATCAAAGTAAAAGACAAAACAAACTTTAGAAAAACCTCACTAAAGCCTCAGTATAAAAATGGGCAAAGGAAATGAACAGCCCTGCCTGGCTGGTATGGCTCACTGGACTGACAGCCAGCCTGCGAACCAAAGGGTCACTGGTTTGATTCCCAGTCTTGGACACATGGCTGGGTTGTGGGCCAGGTCCCCAGTAGGGCGTGTATGAGAGGCAACCACACATTGATGCCTCTCTCCCTCTCTTTCTGCCTCCCTTATCCTCTCTCTAAAAAAAAAATAAATTTTAAAAAGAGAAAGGAAGTGAAGAGATGAGAAATGAAAATGGTTAAGAAACATATAAGGACATGTAAAATCTCACTGATAATCAAAATAATCCAGGTTCAAGATAGTCCTTTTCTTGACTATGAAATGGGTGAAGTTCCTGGGAAACAGAGACCCTCATAACTACTGATGGGTATAAAAAAAATGTGTTATTGGTACAGCAGTAAATTGGTACAACCTCTCTGGGAAACAACTTGGGATATGTACCAACAGCCTTACACATCCTGAAAACTTTTTTATATACTAAATGTTTCCTCAGGAATTTAATGCAACTTTTTCATAATAGGAAAAAACCTGAAAACAATAAAAATGTCTCATACAAAAATGTGAAATTATATATTCATATAATAAAATATTATGCAGACATTAAAATCATAGTTTTGAAAAATACTTAATGACCTGGAAAACATTCAAGATACATTGTAAGTAAAAAAAAAAAAACAAGCCCTATTCTTTGCTATGACTACAATTTTGAAATGATAATATATACATACAAGTTTGAAATATTGGAGGCAAATACAACAAAATGTTAGCAACCATTTTCTCTAAAATTATTTCATTACTTTAAATTTTCTGTAAAATTTAAAGTTTTTATAAGTATGTGAGAGGAGACACCATATTTTAAATGAAGAAATACTATAATTACAAAAATTTTACCTGGCATCTACATGCTCAGGCTCTCAACTGAGTTAATTATTGCAATAAGCAAGTAAGTCCCACACAAAACCTTGAGGACACATTAGCACTTGCCTTTCATCTTTTTTATTGACCCTTTGGTTAAGAATCCATGGGCAAACAGTGTTTGGAATAGATGCTTTACCAGGAGCTCTCATGGGCCGGCCAACAGGAGCACTATCTACACTCAGTGTAATGAATAACCTTGTGCAGGCTCCATGACAAACCACAGACAACTCAACGTAACGGTGTTTCCATGACACACTTGCCTGCCCAGAAAGTCTTAACCAAGACCACCCACTGGTAGCCCACAAACCACCAGGTCAAAGCAACTGCTGAAATAATTTAGGAATTATTAAGTCTGGCATGAAAAGCCCCACGTAACATGCCCAGGCTCCCAAATGCCCCTCATCCTCTCTGCTGTTTTCTACGGCAGGATGTTTTCAGTATGTTCATTCTAACCCAATTAATAAAGGAGCTCTTTAAAGTCGCAAAAAACACTGCACATTGGGTTCCTGGATCCACCATGAGTACCATACATAAAGAAGCACAGAACACATGTACAGTACCTTCGGGAAGCTGTGTTGGCTTGGCACAATTTTCTCCACTCATTAAAACAACAAAAGACGCAGCTGCTCGGACTGTGGCTTGCCATGTTGACATGGCAACGGGTGGCTCCTGGCATGGAAAAAGGGCCCTGTTGTTTATGGGAGATCCCGTAGTATAAACACATGGTCTGCAAAGGAAAGACAAGGAAACAAAAGGAGAAAATCTTTAAAATAAGTTGTCACTTTCCTCACTACCATGGTGGAGAAGGTTATTCACCTTTCAAACAGAAAACATTTAAGCCTTTGTAGATGACTGGTTTCAAAGCTTCTTGAACTGAAATTGCCAAGGTTGGATAAGTGGTAATTTCTCCCAAATAAATTACTTAAATATGTAAAGAGAGATTTTTTTAAAGAAAAAATATTTTTTTGGTTGAAGTGTGAAGAACTAGTCTGCTAAGTTAAAATTTATATTACCCTTGCCCCTCCTCTTAGGCCCTTATGCATTTAAAAGAAAAAAGCTTCGGATATATTCTTACAAAACTTGGAATATATTCTGGAACAGAAAATATGCTCGGAGATCACTGAGATATTAATGTTTGGAAAAACAAGCTGGTACTCTCAAATCCAGTGCCAGCAGGCAGATACCCCAATCTTGGAAACCACCATCTCCAATCGAACCCTTGTGGGAATTCTTATGTGGAGGCCAAGAACAGGGGTTGGCATATAAACAGGATTACAGGTCACAACAACCAGGCTCATGAAAGCCAAATGTAGTTGTTACCAAAGCAGGTGTAGGAAACCAACAACATGGCATTAGGGCTCATTCTGTTACAATAAAAAATGTGAACCCCTGTACAACAACAAAAATCTCTTCCATGACAGAGGTGAAAAAGGTTGATGAGATCAAAGGAATACATTCTTTTGATACCACAGTGTAGAAGCCACAAAACTGACATCAGGAAAGTGTCTTAGGAAAATGTTTCTGCTTTTTGCTTTTCAAAAATTATAACAAATGATCATCAAAAATGTCCCCCAAAATAAAAGTCCAGGACCAGATGGCTTCATTGGTAAATTCTACCAAACATTCAAAGAAGATTTGGTACCCATCCTTCTCAAAAGCTTCCAAAAAATTGAAAAGGCAATAGTTCCTAACACATTTTATGAGGTCAATGTAACCCTGATACCAAAACTTGGCAAGGATTAACACTAGAAAACTACAGACCAATATCTCTGATGAATATAGATACAAAAATCCTAAACAAAATACTAGCAAGTCAAATACAACAAGACATTAAAAAAACAAAAACCCACAATCAAGAGGGGTTCATTCCAGGGGCATGAGGATGGTTCAACATATTGACATAAAATTGATCTATGTAATACACCACATTAACAAAACAAAATATAAATATCAAGTGATCTCATAATAGATGTAGAAAAAACACTTGATAAGATACAACATCCATTTATGATTAAAACACTCAATTAAAATGGGTATAGAAGGAAAGTACCTCAACATAATAAAGGCCAATAACATACTCAATGGTGAAAACCTGAATGCTTTTCCTCTAAAATCAGGAACAACACAAAGATGCCCACTCTCATCACTCTTACTCGAATTGAGAGCCCAGAAATAAAACCACAGGTATACAGGCAACTAATTTTTGACAAAGGAGCCAAAAACATCCAATAGAGAAAGAAAAACCTCTTCAATAAATGGTGCTGGGAAACTTAGAAAGCCACTTGTAAAAGGATGAAACTAGATTATTGTTTGTCCCCTGGTATAAAAATCAATTAACAATGGATCAAAGACCTAAATATAAGATCTGAAACAATACATTACTTAGAAGAAAATATAAGTCCTAAACTTACAGGCTTTGGTCATAAAGAACATTTTATGAATTTGACCCCAAAGGCAAGGGAAATAAAGGCAAAATTAAATGAATAGGACCATGTCAAACTAAAAAGCTTCTGCACAGCAAAAGAAGCCAACAACAAAATAAAAAGGCAACCAACCAAATGGGAGAAGATATTTGCTAACAACAGCTCTGACAAGGGGTTAATATCCAAAATATATAAATAACTCATATAACTCAACACCAAACAAACAGTCCAATTAAAAATGGGCAGAGGACATGAACAGACACCTCTCCCAAGAAGACATACAAATGGCCAACATATATATGAAAAGGTGTTCAACTTCACTAGCTATTAGGGAAATTCAAATCAAAACTATAATGAGATACTACCTCACATCTATTTGAATGGCTATTATCAACAAGACAGGTAATAACAACTCTTGGAGAGGTTAAAAAAAAGGAACCCTCATTCACTGCTGGTAGGAATGTAAACTGGTACAGCCACTATGGAAAACAGTCTGGCAGTTCCTCAAAAAATTGCAAATAAACTTACCATATGACCCAGAAATCCTTCTTCTTGATATCTACCCGAAAAATTCAAAAACATTTATTCACAAAGATATATGTACCTCTATGTTCACTGCAGCATTATTCAGTGGCCAAGACATGGAGACAACCAAAGTATCTCTCAATAGAGGATTGGACAGAGAGGATGTGGTACACTGGAATACTACTCAGCCATAAGAAAAGATGAAATATGGATGGACAACAAGTGACAACATGGATGGGTCTTGAGAATATTATGCTAAGCAAAATAAATCAGTCAGAAAAAGCTAAGAACTATATGATTTCACTCCTATGTGAGATATAAAACTAAAACTCATAAACACAGGCAGACAATAGCATGCTGGTAACCAGAGGGAATGGGGTGTGGAAGGTAGTAAGAGGTATAGGGGGTCCAATATATGGTGACGGAAGATGATTTGACTTGGGTGTTGGGCACACAATGTAACATACAAATAATGTATCACAGAAATACATACCTGAAACCTATGTGACCCCATGAACCAATGTATCTCCAATAAATTAAAATGTTATAGCAAATATGATATAGTGTTAATCAGCTTGATTAACATCACATTAAAATCACATGATTTATTGCATCCCTGCAATGTGCAAGAACACACAGAATGTTGGTCCCACTCTATCAGTCAGGGTCTAGTAAAGAAAAGAGAAAACAGCCTAGGTCTTAACAAACAGAGGTAATTTAATTAGGGAATTGTTTATATAAGTGCTAGAAGAGCTGAGAAGCCAAACAGGGCACAGTGAGGCAACCCAGAGATTAACCACAGCAGTAAGTGGCTGTGACTCCTTTTGTTGAAGAAGCTGATATTACTGGATCATCCAGCAGAGGCCAGAGTCACAGTGGGGACTGTCCAATAGGTACTGGGACCAGAGAGGGCTCAATCACAGTTAGAGATGACAAAGGAAGAAGGGAGAGGAAAAGAAATACTGTTCCTTGCCAACTCCTGCTCTCAAATTTTTCTATCAGTGCCTCCCCCACAACATTGGTCAAACCTACCAAGAAATAGAAGACAAGGGAGCCTAGATAATGACATGCCTGATCATTCAGAGATCACATTAAGAGCAGAAAATAGACCTTAGGGCAGACAGGCAGGCACAATCTACCTTCCTAGAAGTGTACATGATAACTCACAGGTTTGCACGGGGCAGGGAAAGATCAGAAATTCAGAAGACTTTAATTCTGCCTATGTTGCCTACTTATTAACTAACCATGGGAAAGTCCCTTGACCTCTCTGAGTCACATATAAAATGAGGATGGGATACAGGTTGGTAAACTCTGTTGTCTGTTCTGGTCTAGAAATCTATGATATTGCATTCCAAGTTTACACACAAAATTTCATGGAAGACCCATAATCTCCCATCAGTTTCAGTGAAACTTAGTTAACTGTCCAGCCTCAGGCTGTTTAAGAACCTAATGAGGAAGCCTGCCAGAACTGGCTTCTCCCAAGTAGGGCAAGTGGTGGTGAGCATGTGGTAGGAGGTATGCTATAAAGCTCAAATAACTCAGCTAGATTCAGCCAAGTATGCCCAGTTCTGGGAATTCTACCCGTAAAGTGTTTTGTTTTTTTTTCCCAAAAGCCCATCTTAGAGAAGGGTCCTAAAACAGGAAAAGTGACCATTGTTAAGTGGAAACAGAGTGCACTCCCAGTGGACAAATGGCAGGCCAAATTATTGCTTCCTTTGAAAATGGCAGTCCTTGGGATTAAGGCTTTCTTTCTCAATGAAGCAGAATGAACCTTACAATTTTTCTCAGTTCAAAAGGTCTAGGAAACCATTTCTAATTTAAGTATACTTGTGGAGTTAAATTTATTTGTGATGTTTACAGGGAAAGGGCAGGTATCTGTCTACATATCCCCTTAAGACTTTCTTGGCATCAGGCAAAGGGGGAGCTGACCTATATGATAGTCTTAAGTCTGAGGGTGCTCAGGCTGAGTCTAAAAGTATCTGTACCCTCAAAAAACAAGAAAAAACTCAAACAATCTAACTTTACACTTAAAGAAATTTGAAAAAGAACAACAAAGTCCACAGTGAGTAGAAGAAAATGAAATTGATTATAGCAGAAACAAATGAAATAGAACCAAAAAAGAGACAAAAGATCAATGAATCCAAGAGGTGGTTCTTTGAAAAGATAAACAAAATTGACAAACCTTTACCCAGACTCATCAAGTAGGAGACAGGACCGAAATGAAGAAAATCATAAATGAAAAAGAGGAGGACTTACACCAAGATGGAGGCGTAGGTGGAAACATTGTGCCTTCTTGCACAACCAAGTTTAAAAACAACAAAGTTTTAGCAACAAAAACGCAGCCAAACCACAGAAAATTGAACTACACGGAAGTCTGACAACAACGAACCCTTCACCCAAACTGGTAAGAGGGGCAGAGCCAGCAGTAGAGTGGGGTCAGACGGGAAAGATCCACTGGACCAACCCGGGTGCGCAACCCAGGTGCACAGGCAGCCGTAGGCGGATCCCAGGTGTGGAATAGCAGCAGGTGGACCCACTAAGGACGCAAGGTGGCGGACCCACAGAGGGCTGACCATGGTCACACATTTATGCACAGATAAACTGGTGAAGGAGTGAGCAGTGACATGGACTGCACAGGCCCCAGTGGAGGGAAGCAGCAGAGGGGACTGCTATTGTCCCTCTTTAACCCTGCCACAACATACAGTGTCACAACCCAGAGACTGAGTTGCCCCACCCCCGGTGAACATCTAAGGCTCTGCTCCTCATACATAATGGGCAC